AGCCTGGGCGACAGAGACCTCAACTCAAAGAAGGAAAACTATTAAAAAATTTCAAACAGATAGAATAATGCAGAGAAAAACAAAGGAACTGCCCAGATTAGCAAATCTTCATTTTGCTATATTTGTGTCAGAGTTTTTTTCCTATAAAAATAAAATGTGACAGACTCAGCTGAAGCCGCTCACATCCCTCCCAAATTCCATGGCTCTCTCTGGCAGCAGAGGTCACTGCTACACTGAATCTGACCTGTGTCAGCCCATACGTGTTTCTATCCTCTAATGTCATATGTATGCATAAACTGTTTATGACATTGTTTTACCTGTTTCAAAATTTTGCCTAAATATTATCATAATGTACCAATGGCTCATTACTGACATAGTTTTGCTCATTCCATTTGCATTTCCCTAATTACTCATGTTGTTGAACATGTTTTCATATGTTCATTGGCATTTGAATTTCCTCTTTTGTAAACTGCCTGCTCACTAACCTTTGCCATTTTTTTGTTGTTGTTGTTGTCTTTATTTTAAAATTCTTGGATCACACCTGTAATCCCAGCAATTTGGGAGGCTAACACAGGAGAATTGCTTGAGACAGGAGTTGTTGTTGTTGTTTTTGACTTAAAAAAAAAATGGTAATAGTGGGATACTACCGGGTTGGGGGAGGGAGGACATGACATCAATAAGGATACCTGATCTCAAACCAGGCAAAGTGGGGACCAAAGGAGGCCCACATTTTACCAGTATGATGACCACTTGTATACCTAATCCTGAATTGTACCCCATCTTTAAAAAAAAAAAAACTTTATAGAAGTGCCTTTATTCCATGTAAAAAAGTAAGTAATATTTGAAAGCTAATAAGGAATCTATATAGCATGTAGGTAAAGTATAAAGAATAATAATAGCATAAGCCCATTAGTCAATTTAATAATAAAACATGGCAATGCTGTTGAAGCTATGTACGGATATTATTTTAGTTAGTTAATTAACTAGACTCAGGGTCTCACTCTGTTGTCCAGGCTGAGGTGCAGTGGCATGATCACAGCTCACCACAGACTAGACCTCCTGGGTTTAGTGATCCTTCCACCTCAGCCTCCCGAGAAGCTGGGACTACAGGCGCACATCACCATGCCCAGTTTATTTTTTTGTTTCTGTAGATTCAAGGTCTCGCTATGTTGTTCAGGCTGGTCCCAAACTCCTGGGCTCAAGCAATCCTCCTGCCTTGGCTGGGATGACAGCTGTGAGCCACTGTGCCTGGCCCCTTGGTGCTTATAGTTGCCATTTCTTTCATTTTCACTGGAATATGGATTCCGATTCCATTGTATATCCCAACTGACTTATCCATTCTACTGCTGATGGGCATTTGGGCTGTCCCTCACACTGCTCTGAACATTATCCTATGTGTCCTCAGGCCCACCTGTGCTCAAGGTCCTTTGGGGCATCACAAACCTAGGTGGAGACTGCAGGACTGCAGGTAGGTGCATTGCTTCAACTTCTCCAGAGAGTGCCAGGTGGTTTTCCAGAACTGTTGCTCCAATTTAAAATCCCTGTAGCAAAGCATAAGAGTCCTGGTGTTCTCATTCTCATCAACACTTGGGGTTTTTTTTGTTTGTTTTATATTTAGTCATTACAAATGTGTACACACTTGTAGAAATCTGTTTTTTGGGTTTTTTTGAGTTGGAGTCTCACTCTGTCGCCCAGACTGGAGTGCAGTGGCCGCTCCCGGCCACCGCAGCCTCGACCTGCTGGGCTCCAGCAGTCCTTCTGCCTCAGTCTTCCAAGTAGCTGGAACTACAGGCGTGCGCTACCATGCCCAGCAAATTTTTTTGATTTACTGTAAAGATGAGGTCTCACCAAATTGCCCAGGTGGGTCTTGAACCCGCGGGCTCAGGCAATACACTGGCCTTGGCCTCCCAAATTGCTGGGATTACAGGCTGAGCCACCGAGCCCGGCCTTTTTTTTTTTTGGTTTAAAAAAAAAATGTTTTATTTTAAGTTTGTGGAGTACAATTTAGGGTTAGGTATACAAATGTTCACCAAGCAGGCACCCTTGATGAGGTGTGCCCCTCCTCCTCTAGCAGTTTCCCTCAACTGCCAATCCCTTTCTTACAGTATTACAATAGTTGTTCAAGGTCCACTTATGAGTGAGAACATGTGATACTCGGTTCTTTGTTTCTGTGGTAGATCACTCAGTATTGTAGCCTGTAAGTTCATCCAAGTTGAGAAATACTTGGTTTTTTTTCATCTTTGCCAGCCTGGTGGTTGTGAAGTGATGCCTCTGTGTGGTCATTTGAATTTCTCTAACAGTTCTTTATATAATACTAGTATTGATCTTTTACCGGCTACATGTATTATATAATCTACTCTTCTAGTCTGTGCCTTTCATTTGTAGTCAATTTTGTTGAGGTATGTTTATACAAAATAAACCAATTTTAATCCTACAGTTTTTTGGGGTTTTTTTTGTTTTTGAGTCAGAGTCTCATTCTGTTGCCCAGTCTGGAGTGCAGTGTCGTACTCATGGCCACTGCGGCCTTGACCTGCTGGGTTCAGGTGATCCTTCTGCCTCAGCCCTCCAAGAGGCTGGAACCACAGGCACGTGCCACGACACCTGGCTATTTTTAAAAATTTATTATAGAGGTGAGGTCTTGCCAAGTTGCTCAGGTTGGTCTTGAACACCTAGGCTCAGGTAATCTTACCTCAGCCTGTCAAACTGTTGGGATTATAGGTGTGAGCCACTGCACCCAGCTTAAGCCTACAGTTTGATGATTTTTGACAAATGTGTACAATAGTTGAACCACTACAGTTATGGTATAAAAAGTTTATGATAGAAAATATTTCCCTCACCCTAGAAAGTTCCCTTGTGTCCTTTGCGGTCAAGACTTCCTGCGCAGAGTACATTTTTTTTTTGAGTCGGAGTCTCACTCTGTCACCCAGACTGGGGTGCAGTGGCATGCTCCCGGCCACCGCAGCCTCGACCTACTGGGCTCAGGTGATCCTTCCGCCTCAGCCTTCCGAGTAACCGGAACTACAGGCATATACTACCATGCCTGGCTAATTTTTTTTTTTCGATTTATTGTAGAGGTAAGGTCTTGCCAAGTTGCCCGGACTGGTCTCGAACCCACAGGTTCAGGCAATCCATGCATCTCAGTCTCCCAAAGTGCTGGGATTACAGGTTGAGCCACCGAGCCTGGCCAGCAAAGCAAATTTATTCCAGAATTTCGAGGACTAAAAGGAATGACTGTTCAGTTATAAGTAGCAGAGGTACTGTCCCTGCAGATGAAGCTGAGACCAGCGGGGTTCACTAGGATGGGGGGGGAGCTGTGTCACAGGTTAGTGTTCTCACTGCAGTGATGCTTGTGTGGTGACATATGCTGCATTAGTTTGGAATCCAAGCTTCATGAGGGCAGAGTCCTTGTCTCTTGTCACCACTGTGTCCTCTCCCAGACCAGAGCCTGGGATATATTGTTGCTCAGTAAACGGTGGTTGAATGGTCAAAATCAATCTGCAAGAAAGAATTCCTGGAAGTCGACATCCGATTTTTTTTTTTTTTTGAGTCACGGTCTCTGTCTCCCAGACTGGAGTGCAGTAGCACGATCATGACTCACCTCAGCCTCCAACTCCTGGGCTCAGGCAATCCTTCTGCCTTAGCCTCCCCAGTAACTGGGACTACAGGTGTACCACCACGCCTGGCTAATTTTTTAAATTTTTTTTTTTTTGTAGAGACAAGGGCTCACTATGTTGCCTAGGCTTCTCTCAAACTCCTGGGCTCAAGCAGTTCTCTGGCTTTGGCCTCCCAAGTGCTGGGATTATAGGTATAAGCACGGTACCTGGTCTGACCTCTTAATTTTTAGGATACTTATTCCAGCAGCCTTGAAACCTTTGGGAAAAAAAAAGGATTTTGCCCCAGCAGAAGTCCCATCAGAAGGTGGTCTCCTCGATCCTCTGGACAACTATCTTCCTGTGTGTCCTTGGGCTGTCACTTGGGTTTGGAGTTACTATAATTCTAGATGTAATGAATGCACTGAACACATTGTCCTCTCAACTATTAAACAGTTGAAAATTCAATGAGGGCAACCAAAGTTTATAAACACAGATATTTACTTTAAAAATCCCAGGAATAAGACAATCCCAGAATAATTTACTACCTACACTATTTCAATTTTCCTAGGAAGTTCTAATTCTCAGCAAACATTAATTACCCCACTATCTTTTAGGTAATTTCTCCCATTTTACAGGTAGTGATTCAGAAGAAGTTCAGGGTCTTGATGCTAGGGTCACGTGGAGGCTATAAATTGAATTCACTGTTTCAGCCCTCTCTCTTGCCATTAGTTTGACTGGAATAGAGGGAGGTTTGAATAGCATTTCTGTTTCCTTAGTGACTGACCGTATATTTGCTGCTCTCTGCTACCCCCTGTTGATATGAGAAGGGAAGAGCAACTCTCAAGACAATCTCAGAGTTAGGTCTTGGTATGCAGCAGTATTAGGATCACCTGGGAAATTATTAGCACTCTAAACTATGGGGCCCCACCCAGAACACTGAATTAGAAACTGTGGGGCAGGGCCTGGAAATCTGAGTTTACTTTATTCTTTATTTTTTTGAGTCGGAGTCTCACTCTGTCGCTCAGGCCAGAGTGCACGCTCATGGCCACCCCAGCCTCGACCTGCTGGGCTCAGGAGATCCTTCCGTCTCAGCCTCCCAAGTAGCTGGAGCCACGAGTATGTGCTACCATGCCTGGCTAATATTTTCTTGATTTATTGTAGAGATAAGTCTTGCCATGTTGCCCAGGCTAGTCTCAAACCCGTGGGCTCTGGCAATCCTCTCACCTCGGCCTGGGATTATAGGGGTGAGCCATCATGTCCGGACTGAGTTTACTTTAAAGCAGAAAATATTTATGAGATTCTCAATACTCTATGAGGCATCATTAAACAACTTTTTACCTGTCAAAAAGTATAAGTGAAAGTGGAAGTCAGAAGATAAATTGGAAGAATAATTACAATACCAACGTCTTGTCTCTTCCCACACTTTATTTTTCAGGAAGGAGAGAAAAAGAATGTCATGTCTAACATATGGCAGATGCTTTCAGTTACAAATGGAGGTAAAATCCTTACTGATCAAGTTTCCGTATCATTTAAATAGAGAAACTGGTAGGAAAACCAGGGGTCTCCTTCTTTGGAAAATTATAATATGTGATTTCAAGTATGTGCCCCAGAGTGTACAAAAATTCAGACATATACACAAGAGTGTCACTTCTCTAGTGCAGGGACCATGTACCTAGCATGGTGCTTGGTATAGTGAAAGCATGGCATAAATGAATGAATGAATATTATTCATTCACTCAGCTGGGCAGAGCAGGCTGTCACCAAAATATCTCTACCCATTTATGACATTCATATTTTTCTGAGTATAACAAGTATGCATGTCACACCAAAGGCTTGGGTTTGTTATTGTGCTGTTGGGAGCCCAGGCACATTCGTTGAAATAGGACTTAGCTTCGAACATAATCTCAAGGACAGAATTACATTGGTTTTATGCATATGGTTATATACAAAGTACAGTATTCAGCCTCTCCTTCCAGTTCACCTGGGTCAGACTCACATAGTAGCTTCTCTCCCTCCTCTTGGGTCACAGTGTGTCAACCCTACTAGTCACCTAAGACAGTGTAAGAAACATAAAAAATAACCAAAGGAAGCCTCATGAAGTTGTTCTATCAGTTATATGACCTGGCCGAGGCTGCTTGCAGAGTCATCCTTCTCCACTTATCTAAAATGTCATTTAACCTATAAAAAATCCCACCTCCCCAAACCACAATATCTATTTTACAATAACCTTTAGGAAAAACAAAAGTTAAGTCACCCACTCCAGCACAGCTCACATAAATGGCACTGAAGAGAGAGCTTCGGGAAGAAGGCTGAAATTTAAAGAACGCCTGGTGGGTTCTTGAGCAGGGGGTCCTTCTCTTGGTTCTCTGGGAGGAGGAACACGGCCTTGGCGCGGTCCAGGAAGATATTCAGGCCTTGGCGTTTGACCACGTTCCCCGCACTATTTTTTATTGGTTTATATTCCTTGTGTTTTCTGAAAACAATGCATTGCACAGTTATTTTTTAAAAAGATCTTCAATGGAAATAGATTACTTTCTACAATGTTTTTCATGCCAGGTGCAAGAGGGTTCATTCCATTTAACCTAATCTGTGGTTTGCAAGACACTGGCATCTTATGAACATATATTTATTTTCTCTTCCTCAAGCAAGAAATGTGCCTGTTTACTGTAATTGGAGATAATAATATGTCAACACTAGGTTGTAAAGATACTGACATCAGGTAGCATTTTTAGAATTTCCAAAAACCACAGCAAAATTAACAGGCCTGTTTGGTACATTCATCTTTCAATGAGAGATTTTCCTTCTACACACAAAATGTCCAAAATCAAAAAAAAAGGGAAATGGACCATTTACGCAGAAATATATTTACTGTTGACAACATACTATGGCGATGCAAAATGTTAGAACCAGAAACTTACTTGTACACCAGGAGGGCGATCACAGTGACAAACAGGGCCAGGCAGCCGATGGAGATCAGGGCACCCTTTGCTATTCTCAGAGCGGAGCCTGGGTCTTAATTAAGGCAGAAGCAAGGCCACGTTAGTTGTGTCTTCCGCCTAGAGGACATGTGTCTGGAATGCCATTTTTACACACGAGGAAGGGCGTGACCACAGAGGCTACACGGCTCCCTCTGGGCTTCCAGTAATCTTTCCCAAGAAATCACGCAGGGTCTCTGGGTCTACTTATCTTCTATTTACAGAATGAGTAGGCATATCTGGAACGCTGTGTTAAGGGCTCAGGGGGAGAGATGTCACGTCCTGGAAACACATGCTTAGGTCCCAGGAGACCCAGCAGAGACCCCGTGGGGAACCCGCCACTCCTCGGGCCTCATCTCTCGCTACCGACCCTCCAGCTGCACTGAAAGTCCTGGGAGTCGCCCATACTCCCCAGGCTCTTTCAGACATCCGCATCCCGGCCGGGAAGGCCCTTCCTCTGGCCCCACCTCTTTTGCGACGCCTTCCAGACATCCCTGAGGGCCGGGATCTCTTCCTCTGTCACCGCTCTACTGGCCTCTCTTCCTGTGCCTCGGTCACACTGTGCTGCAACTATATCTTTTTCTCTTTTCTGTTTTGGGTCGTAGTAGTCTCACTCTGTCGCCCCGGCTGGAGTGCAGTGGCACGCTCACGGCCACCGTCGCCTCGACCTGCTGGGCTCAGGCGATCCTTCCGCCTCAGCCTTCCAAGTAGCTGGAACCACAGGTGCGCAACACTGCGACTGGCTAATTTTTAAAATCCATTATGGAGACGAGATCTTGACAAGTTGCCCAGGCTGGTCTCAAACCCTTGGGCTCACACAATCCCCTTGCCTCTGCCTCCCAAAGTGCTGGGGTTACAGGCATGAGCCACCGTGCCCTGCAGAGCCATCTTCTTAAAGCATCAGTCACACCATGCTTTAAACTTACTGCCAACGGCTCCCCCCTACACAGACTAAAATCTGAATCCTAGCATTCGGGAGGATCTAAACGAGCTGCTTGTGGCCCCAGCTGAGAGGAGGCCCCTCACCAAGCGGGTACCTGGGGTCAGCAGGTGCAGGGAGCCAACCTCTGCCCCGCCTCCCTCCTCCATGCCCATCACTCTCCACCCCGACCCTGCCTTATTTTCTTCACACCATCATATTTCTTCATTTACTGTCTGCATCAAATTAAATAATTCGCCTGAGGAGATACTTATTTTTTGAGGACATACCCTCACTCGTACATAAGCAAACTGAAACTTAATTTAGGAGGGTAGTTGTAACCGCCAAGTTTCAGCCAATCACAAGTAGCAGAGTTTCAGCCAATCGCAAGCAGCCAATCGATCACGCCCTCTCCTAGTGACAGCCAATCAGGCGATTTCTCCACTTTGCTTCCTCTGCGGCCTATGAAAGTTGACTGCTCCGGGCGAGGATCTTTGCGCTTCCGGTTCTGAGCGTTATCTGAGTCTTTGCTCAAATAAACTTTGTTAAATGTAATTTGTCTCAAGTTTTTCTTTTAACATCTGTCATTGCTTGCAAAAGCAGAGGGCTTCTTGGTCTCGTTCGCCACTCTAGAACTGTGCTGAGCATGGAGTAGACACTCAATGAGTATTTGTTGAAAGAATGTCAGGTGCTTCATGAATGTTCAATGAATCAATCAGTGAAAACTGTTTCTGCTAAAATTCTATGGGTTTGCCTTGGAACAATGATCTATTTCTGAGACTAACTTTAACATCCAAGTGAAGTTACATCCCCATTGAACGAAAAACTTTCCTTCTGAGCCCCGTCCCCTCTCCGTTCTCCCTTTTTCTTTCTTTCTTCTCTTTTTTTCCTTTAGAGATAAGGTCTTACTTATGTTGCCCAGGCTGGACTCAAACTCCTGGGCTCAAGGGATCCTCCTGCCTCAGCCTCCCAGGAAGCAAGGACTACAGATACAGGCCAGTGTGCCCGGCATTCTGAGTTTTCTTAAACTGGTATTTGAAAATGACTCGGGCCACGACTACTGTTGGTGCAAATATATAAGCAAATATGTAAGCATCTAATTCACACGAGAGCTCCGCGGGTTGCCAGCGTGGAGGAAGCTTAGGAGAATGAATTATGACTCTAAAGGGAATTCTAAACAAACCCTGGAGCCCTGGCAGCCCTAGAGGAATAACCTCAGCAGCTCCCGAAGGAGACTGCTGAACTCTACCACCACTGGGTGGCGGAAGTCCCGGCTGCCTTCTCCTGCCCCTGTGCTCCCCTTCTCTACACCCAGGCCTCCTTCCACCCTACTCTACAGGAAGTGGGGTTCTCTTGGAGCATTGAGCATTGTTTTCGTTGTTTTTTTTTTGAGTTGGAGCCTCACTCTGTCGCCCAGGCTGGAGTGCAGTGGCATACTCACGGTCACTGCAGCCTTGACCTGCTAGGCTTCGGGGATCCTTCCACCTCAGCCTTCCAGGTAGCCAGAATCACAGGTGCGTGCTATCACGCCCTGCTAATTTTTAATTTATTGTAGAGATGAGGTCTCGCCAAGTTGCCTGGGCTGTTCTCGAACCCAGGGGCTCAGGCAATCCACTCGCCTTGGCCTCCCAAAGTGCTGAGATTACAGGCTGAGTTACCAAGCCCAGCCAGTTTTTATTTATTTATTTTTAAAATTATTTTTATTTTTATTTTTTGAGATGGGGTTGCACTCTCTCACCCAGGTTGGAGTGCAGCGTCATGATCACAGCTCACCATAGCCTCGACCTCCTGGGCTTAGGCAATCCTTCAACCTCAGTTTCCCAAGTAACTAGAACTACAGGAAAGTGCCACCACATCTGGCTAATTTTTAAATTTTTAGTAGAGGTGAGGTTTCACTGTGCTGCCCAGGCGTCTTGAATCTCTGGGCTCAAGTACTTCTCTTGCCTCGGCCTCCCAAAGTGCTGGGAATTATAGGCATGAGCCACCACGCCTGGCCATTTTTTTTTTTTTTTTAATTGTTCTTTTTTTGAGTTGGAGTCTCACTCTGTCAGGCTGGAGTGCAGTAGCCCGCTCACGGCCACTGCAGCCTTGATCTGCTGGGCTCAGGTGGTCCTTCTGCCTCAGCCTTCCAAGTAGCTGGAACTACAGGCATGGACCACTGTGCCTGGCTAATTTTTTGACTTGTAGAGATGAGTTTTCGCAAAGTTGTCCAGGCTGGTCTTGAACCCCTGGGCTCAGGCAATCCTCTCACCTTGGCCTCCCAAACTGCTGGGGTTATAGGTGTGAGCCACTGCACCCAGCTCTTTCTTTTTTTTTTTTTTTTTTGAGTTGGAATCTCACCCTGTTGCCCAGTCTCAAGTGCAGACTCACCAACACAGCTCACCATAGCCTCGTCCTGCTGGGCTCAGGTGATCCTTCCGCCTTAGCCTTCCAAGTAGGTGGAAACACAGGTGTGTGCCACCATACCCGGCCAATTTTTTTATTTATTATAGAAATGAGGTCTCACCAAGTTGCCCAGGCTGGTCTTGAGCCCCTGGACTCAGGCAATCCTCTCATCTCTGCCTCCCAAAGTGCTGGGATTACAGGTATGAGCCACTGTACCTGGCATGAGTCACCATGCCTGGCTTAAGCTTTTCTTTCAGTAGAGCTAAAGCTGCCTTTATATGATTAAGGAGTAAACAAATGTTTAAGTATATTTTACCTTCAAGACGGGCTTCAAGTCCAAAGGAGTGACAAGGGAATCAGCTGTTAGACTGTACCTGATTACACCCCAATTAAGGAGATAAATAAATACTGTCATGTGCACACAGTGTAACCTTTCCCATCCATTTCACCTTAGAGCACTTCTAAGACATAAATAAGCATCTCATAACAAAATCAACTATAATGAAAAAGCCACTTCCCTAACTTGGGGGTTGGTGGAAACTGGACATCATCAGTAAGTGTATATTTCTTTCTTTTTTTTTGAGTTGGAGTCTCACTCTGTCGCCCAGACTGGAGTGCAGTGGCCACTCCCAGCCACCGCAGCCTCGACCTGCTGGGCTCCGGCGATCCTTCCACCTCAGCCTTCCGAGTAGCCGGAATTACAGGCATGCGCTACCACGCCCGGCTGACTTTTTGATTTATTGTAGAGATGAGGTCTCGCTGCCCAGGCGGGTCTCGAACCCACGGGCTCAGGCAATCCACTCACCTCAGCCTCCCAAAGGTGCGGGATTACAGGCTGAGCCACTGAGCCCAGCTAGTAAGTGCATATTTCTAAGTGAAATTCTTTTGTTTACTTTGTTAATGTTTTAGCCTTCAAGTGTTTGGAGGGAATAATAGTTTTTCTGGTGCAGATCTGAAGAAGAGTAAGTTGGAGTATCACTGTGTCAGGGTAATTCTTGTAGATTTGGGCGGGGAAAGAGAGGGCACATGGCAAGTTAGGAGCTGGGAGTCCACTCGGTTTCTCATTTCCCTTCTTGGCTTCATCTTTGCCCAGAAGGATTTTCATGAAAACAGATATCATCAGTCTCTTTGTTAGCATTTCATTGGCGAACACTGCTATTTTTTTATGTCAGGCTTCCCACTTTCCCCTTGAAATACAAATCTATTCGAGCATGCAGTGATCGTATCTTATTATTACTGGTCCATGATCACAGCCAATTTTTTCATCCAAGCCTTTCTCTTTGGCCACTATTTTACTGGATCTCTCTCATCACTTCCCTAAGTGGATTTGCTGTTGGATGTTAACACCGCTTTTCAAATCCTTATTAGCAAGAGTTCAGCGGATTTTGCATTGACATAACATTCAACACGGGTAGCAAAGCCCTAAATAACTTAGTATAGACACATACTTCACATGCAAGATAAAATGCTTCTGTGACCACAAAACAAGCCTCACCTCTGCCAGGAACAGAGATCAGGGTGCTGGTGAGGGCCAGACTTGCATCATCACTGAGAGTGAGGTTCACACAGTAGGTCCCTGACCCACTGAAGGCTCTTCTCACGGTCAGCAGGCACGTTTCGTCCATGTCCACGGGGTCGCAGACTGGGTCCTGGGCGACCTGACAGGTGGGGTCGGAGATGACAGTGCAGACCTCCGTGGGAATGCTGTGGCGTGGAGGGTGGGCAAGGGCAGGAGAGCATAGAGCAGGGAGGGAGAAAGGTCACATCATTTAAAATAGAGAAGATCCCTACATTTCTTTTTTTCTTTTTTGAGTCAGAGTCTCACTCTATCACCCAGGCTGGAGTGCAGTGGCACACTCACGGCCACCACAGCCTTGACCTGCTGGGCTCAGGTGATCCTTCCACTTCAGTCTTCCAAATAGTTGGAACCACAGGCATACACCACAATGCCCGGCTAATTTTTTTGATTTATTATAGAGATGAGGTCTTGCCAAGTTGCCTAGGCAGGTCTCAAACCCCTGGGCTCAGGCAATTCTCTCGCCTCGTCCTCCCAAAGTGCTGAGATCACAGGCGTGAACCACCATGCCCACCGGATCCCTACATTTCTTTGAAGCTGAATCCTGCTTCATCCTTACTCTCACCTTACAACATTGAATTGTTACATATGACTGAAGCAAGCCTGGTGAGAAGCTACTGCTTCCTCTGTATCCTCAGGAAGGTGAGTCCCTGGGATGGAGGAGAAAGAAATTATCTTCCCCAAGGTGAGGGGCTGGTGGAAATTGTGTGAAGCCAGCATCATTCCTACATCCCTAAGATGTCCAAAGACTCAGGTAGCTTAGGTGTGAGGCAAAGACACTGTTCAATGCCAGTTGGCCCTGCCTGGGCTGGAGGTATCATGACAACAGCTGTTTATGCAGGATTGACTGTGTGCCTGGCACTGAGTTTTAGACAGATGGCATGGTCTTGCTTATTCCTCTACGGCCTTCTGAGGAGAGTAATATTAGTCCAGTTTTTTTTTTGTTTTTTTTGTTTTTGAGTGGGAGTCTCACTCTGTCGCCCAGGTTGGAATGCAGTGGTACACTCATGGCCACCCCAGCGTTGACCTGTTGGGCTCCGGTGATCCTTTCGCCTCACCCTTCCAAGTAACTGGAACTATAGGTGTGTGCTACCTCACCCAGTTAATTTTTGATTTATTGTAGAGACGAGGTCTAGCCAAGGTGCCGGGCTGGTCTCGAACCCGCAGGTTCAGGCAATCCATTCACCTCAGCCTCCCAAAGTGCTGGGATTACAGGCTGAGCTACCAAGCCTGGCCTAGCCCAGTTTAACAGATGACAAACTGGCTCAGGGAGAAGTAACCAGCCAAGCTGCTAGAGGTGGGGTTGGAGCTTGAACAATGATCCTGGACTCATTTATGCTTGGAGCCGCTAGGCTGCCTTGGCATTACTGTCCTGGCGACTGCCTTGCTCCTGGGCTGTCTTCTTGGATGGAGAGACCTCATGGGGCAGGGGACAGGAGGGAGGACAGTCCCTCTTCTCCTTAGCCAGGCCTCTCCTAGTGGCTTCACCCCTCTGTCGGGTCTTTCTCTGTTTCGGCAGCCCTCACCCTCATTCGAGTCTTCGCCCCAAGCTAGAGAGTTTCTTAGCTTTTCCTTTCTACCAAATTAGGCCACTTTTTTATACCAGCCCATTCTTTTGATTATTTATGTATTTATGTGCACACACATTTAAAAATAATTTTTTTTTTTTTGTAGAGACAGGGTCTCACTATGTTGCCAGACTGGTCTCAAACTCCTGGCCTCAAGTGATCCTCCCACCTTGACCTCCCAAAGTACTGGGATTACAGGCGTGAGTCATTGCCCCTGACCAATATATTTTAATTAGGTAAATTGTATAGCATATGCAAATTAGTTGATTCATTAATGTTTATTTTATTAGTCAATTGATATAATATTTGTGTATTTTTTTCTAGTTTTTTTATTATAAAGATGTGGGGTACAGTTCGGGGTTGGGTATACAAACGTTGATTATTCAGGTACCCTTGTTGATGCGAGTGTATTTTTTTTTTAAGTTGGGATCTCACTCTATCACCCAGGCTGGAGTGCAGTGGAACAATCACGGCTCATCGCAGCCTTGACTTCCTGGGCTCAGGTGGTCCTTCTGCGCTAGTCCCAGTAGCTGGGGCTACAGGCATGCAACACAATACCTGACTGATTTTTTTTTTTTTGGTAGGGACCAGATGACAGTTTGTTGCCTATGCTGGTCTTGAACTCCTGGGTTCAAGCAATCCTCTTGCCTCGGCCTCCTTACAGGCATGGGCTACCATGCCCAGCCTTGTGTATTAATTTATTTATGCTCAGTTTGTTCTATATAGTTGTGACGAATTGTAGGAAATCAAATTATATAATGCATCAGAAAGAGCTTTATGTATACTAAAGAGAGAATGATCAGGCACCGTGAATAACATTAGCACATGACAATTCCTCACTGGCTTCCTGCCCACCAGAAGGAGGTCAGGGAGCTTAAGAGCTGGCCTGGAATTTGTGCTCGGCTGGTACCAACTATCTGTGGGCAAGTTTTGTGATCACTGGCTGCCTCAGTTCCCTCATCTGTAAAATGGGCAGACTCATAGGGTTGTGAGGATTCAACATGTGAACAGATGTAAAGTGCTAAGAACATAGTATGCGTTCAAACAGTTGTAATAATTATTATTCAACTTAACGAACCGGTAAAGAGAATGAGCATTTCTCAATGATAACAAAACACATGTGTGATTGATAGCGCCTTCTAGGGCCCTTTTAAAGTCCTTCCTTGGTCAGGTGTGGTGGCTCACGCCTATAATCCCAGCACTTGGGGAGGCTGAGGTGAGAGGATTACCTGAGCCCACAGGTTCAAGACCAGCCTGGGCAACTTGGCGAGACCTCATCTCTACAATAAAAAAAAAGTCTTTGTCCAGGCTTACTAGTAAATCAGAATTAAAATCAAATTAGAAGAGGTAACAGGTGGTCAAGGACTTTGTTCAGACCTTGAGTCCCCACTTGACCCATCCCTCTGATAGAGACGATGTACTCACGTTCCCTGGCAGGTCACCACAAAGTCTATTAGGGAGCTGTCAGGCTGTGGCATGGGCATCAGGACATCTGTCTTCTGGATGATGTTAACCTCTAGAATTCCCTCTAAAAAAACAACCCCCGTAAAAAAAATACATCAAAATACAAAATAAGCCAAACCACCACTTTGCTATAGACTAAATGTTTATGTCTCCCCAACTTTCATACATTGCAATCCTAAGTGTCAAGGTGATGGTATTAGGAAGTGGGGACTTGCTGGGCGCAATGGCTCATGCTTGTAATCCCAGCATTTTGGGAGGCGGAGGCGAGAGGATTGTCTGAGTTCAGGGGTTCAAGACCAGTCTGGGCAACTTGGTAAAACCTCATCTCTACAACACATCAAAAAATTAGCCAGGTGTCGTAGTGTGTACCTGTAGTTCCAGCTACTTGGAAGGCTGAGGTAGAAGGATCGCCTGAGCCCAGCAGGTAGAGGCTGCGGTGGCTGTGAGCATGCCATTGTACTCCAGCCTGGGTGACAGAGTGAGATTCCAATTAAAAATTTTTTAAAAAAGGAAGTGGGACTTGAGAGGTGATTAGGTCATGAGAGTGAAGCCCTGAAGAATAAGATTGGCTTCCTTAAGAAAGAGACCCCAGAGAGCTCCCCTGCCTCTTCCACCAGGTGAGGACACAGCAAGAAGATGCCATCTATGAACCTGGAAGTGGGCCACCACGGGACACTGAATCTGCTGGTGTCTTGACCTTGGACTTCCCAGCCTCCAGAATCATGAGAAATAAATTTCTGTGTTTGTTTATAAGTCACCCAGTCTATGGTATTCTGATACCAAAGCATGAACAGATTGAGCCACAGTCCTTTAATAATTAGAAGGTGAAAAAAAAGGAAGGATACCACTTTCTTACCATACAGAAATGCCTCAGATTTGGGAATCCACCCTCTTGGCTTTGGATATACATTTATGCAGTATTATCTTTTCTTTTTTTGAGTTGGGTCTTACTCTGTTGCCCAGGCTGGAGTGCAGTTGCACAATCACAGCTCACTGCAGCCTTGACCACCTGGACTCAGGCAATCCTTCGGCCTCTTGAGTTGCTGAGACTACAGGCTTGTGCCACCACATCCAGTTAAATTTTTTTTTTTTGGTAGAGATGAAGTCTCTCTATGTTGCCCATGCTAGTCTTGAACTCCTGGATTCAAGTGATCCTCTCACCTCAGCCCCCCAAAGTGCTGGCATTACAAGCGTGAGCCACCGTGATCAGTCTCCAACCTAAATTTTTATTTCTAGAACCTGTGTATGTGTTAGAAAGCAGCACCCCCTCTGAGAAGGTGTTTCAAGAAAAGTTAACCCCCGGGAGGAAGCAGCCCCCAAGCTCAGGGCTTGGTCAGCTTCTCAGGTGGTTCAGCCTTGGGGTCAACTGCTTGGTCTTTCACACCCAACCTCAGAAGCAGGGAGCACAGCTTGGGTTTTGGTGGTCATCTGTCTTCACTGCTGGATGCCTTAGGGCAGTGCCCAGAATGCACAGCCAGGTGTGGTGGCCTGCTCATTTCCCTTTTGACACACAAGAAGTGTGACTTTGTGAAAACTAGCTAGAAGAAGAGTGTGGAAGTTATGGAAACTTGATACTGGGCTTCCTTCACCTCATTTTCATTCCAGTCGTTGGGGTGGACAGGTGAGACACAGGCCCAGGGGCAGGCTCACGAGCATGTGGGCTTCACAGAGGACTTGTTTCCACCAGGATGTTTAAGGAAGGCCCAAGTGGGCAGGTGAGACTAGAAACTGGTAGAGTCTTTGTTCGTGCATGTGTGGCATCAGCTTGGACAGGGAGTAGGTTGTCCTGCACCCAGTTCCACCACCTCAGAGTCAGCAAAGTGAAGGGGTGACCCTAGCTGGATTCCAGCATCCTTCCCCGCTGGTCTTCAGCCTTACCTACAATTGTGATGGTGGCTCTAAAGTAACCATATCTGTAAATCTGGCAATCTTCACCCGGAATCTCACTCAGCTCCAACAGGCTGTCACCAGCAGGTCCTGGGGCGGGGGTGGGGGGTGGGGTTGAAGAATAAGATTTTAGAGTAAGAATATAAAAGAATAAAAAATATGTACATGATGTGACCAAAAATTTGAGCATTTGTCATCTGCTCTTTAGAAAACCATCAAGCATTCTATACTATTTAATTGCTACAGAAATTTGAGCTAAATGTGTGATGATTTGCACAGATGTAAGAGCTTAAACTTGCTAAATTATGTAAGTAAACATAATCCCACTTCTTGTTTAAACACAGAAAGCAAATGAGAGGTTGAAGTCATATTAAAATGTGTGCTACAACAGTAATGATGAAGTAACACAGGCTGTCATAGATGAAGTTATATTATAATTTGGGGGGCAGTTAAGACAAGGATGTTTGAGACCAGAGACACCCCATGTAACCTGTCTTTGCCTCTATTTGCTCATCTGTAAAATGGGAATAATACTGCACTCCTGGGGCTGAACTATGAAGCTTAAATGAGATAAGTATATACAACTTGCTTCTCATGGCTGCCACATAGGAAGTACTTAATACATGTCGGTGTCCTCATCTCGATAATAGGGGAAAAAAATAATTCCCTGATTGGAGTCTCACAGCCCAAAGTTTGAATCCTTACTGTGATGAGAAGAGATGTGAGAAATACAAAACACTTTTAAGAAACAAGTCTTGACTATAATTAAAGCAAAAAATCTAATGCTTGATTAGTTATAATTTAAAAGGCTCAAATGAAGTTATTGGTGGTCCTTTAGCAAGATAAAAAGACTAGAAAGACAATATGAGACTGGGCGCTGTGGCTCATGCCTGTAATCGCAGCATTTTGGGAGGTGGAGAAGAGAGGATTGCCTGAGCCGAGGGGTTCGAGACAAGCCTGGGCAACTTGGTGAGACTGAACACCTTAAAAGACAGATGGGAAAGAAGGTGAACTTCATTCTTTATTATTATTATTATTTTGAGTTGGAGTTTCACTCTGTTGCCCAGGCTGGATTGCAGTAGCATGCTCACGGCCACCGCAGCCTTGACCTGCTGGGCTCAGGCGATCCTTCTGCCTCAGCCTTCCAAGTAGTTGTAACTACAAGGGTGCACCACCACACCCGGCTAATTTTTTGATTTATTATAGAAACAAGGTCTTGCCAATTTGTCCAGGCTGGTCTTGAGCTGCTAGACTCAGGCAACCCTCTTGCCTCTGCCTCCCAAAGTGCTGGGATTACAGCCATGAGCTACCGCGCCTGGTGACCATTCTTAATGTGGGATTCATGCCCTGTTACCTAGAGAATGGTTTGAGAGCTCTTGACTCTGGGAAAGTAGGAAAATTTTATATGATGTGATATGATATACATTCTGATGTATATATTCAGATATATCCACATATACAGTATTACAATGATCAGCACTGGTCTTACAAAGTTTTTTTTTCAGATTTGTTCAAAAGAGTCTGGAAAATGAACAACAGCACTGTTAGCGAAGGAATGAGAATTCTGTGACTTGAAACTTCTGCACACCCATCTGCCCTCTGATCTAATCATCTACCCGAGTCACCTCTTCAACTGTGCTTCCATCTCTCTCCTGCGGTTGCATTTGGGTTCTAATTTTGGCTGTGTTTTATTCCAAAGCCACTTACCAAAGCAGAGAGAGCATAATTTGGGGCAAAATAATAACATAATGCTCAATAATCCAAGCTTGTTACTATGGTCTGGAAATGCTAGAGTTGGAAATGCTCGCTAGAAGACATCCCCTTTTAGAAGTCATGGGCTAGCTGGGCTCGGTGGCTCAGCCTGTAATCCCAGCACTTTTGGGCAAGTTGGCGAGACCTCGTCTCTACAATAAATCAAAAAATTAGCCGGGCGTGGTAGCAAGCGCCTGTTGTTCTGACTACTTGGAAGGCTGAGGCGGAAGGATCGCTGGAGCCCAGTGGGTCAACGCCGGAGTGGCTGTGAGTGTGCCACTGCACTCCAACCTGGGCGACAGAGTGAGATTCCGACTCAAAAAAAAAAAGAGAGAGAAGTCATGGGCTGACTCCTGTTGTCACCGTGGGTCTCACTATTATGTTCCCCTCCTCAATCCTCCCACAGCTGTTTTAATGCATTATTATGGCTGATTTAATACCTTTAGATAAAGACAGGCAGCTTCACTTCACAATAAATCTTAACTAACTCATAGGGGTTACTAGTTTACATTGTATGGTCTGACCTAGGGAAAATCATAACAAAAGTTTAAAATACGTTTTCTCAACTTCAAATATATACATATATATCTTTAAAAAAATTTTTTTTTGAATTGGAGTCATATTCTGTTGCCCAGTCATATTCTGTTGCAGTGGCACAATCATGGCTCATCATGGCCTTGACCTCCTGGGCTCAGATGATCCTTTTGCCTCAGCCTCCCAAGTAGCTGGGACTACACATGTGTACCACCATGCTCAGCTAATTTTTGGATTTTTTGGTAGAGATGAGGTCTCACTATGTTGCCCAGGCTGGTCTCACACCTCCTGCCTTGGCCTCCCAAAGTGCTGGGATTACAGGCTTGGGTCTCTATGCCCAGTCAGCTTCAAATATATTTTTAGCACATGCTATGATATAAACAGTTTCTAAGAAAAACAAGCTAGTTTAATAAAAATGAAATTCAAAATAGACTAACATTAAATAACCTTACATTAATGAAGTCTTTTAACCTTCTGGAACTTCTCAACATTAAAGGAATCTGTAATTTATTCAAAATAAATTAAAGATTTGTAATGGTCCCCTTATTTGTAAGGAAGATCATTAATATTTATAAATAAAGGAATTGATTCTCCTATAGGATTACTAGACTGAAACTGTATATTTAAAATTGTTCAATACAGTTATATCTGTAGTTGGAATTAGATTTAATCTAATTATTCATCAGTAAGAGAACAGTGAAATAAACTATAGTAGATATATACTATGAGACACCATGCAGCCTTTGAATCAAGTGAGACAGATTTACATGGAAAGATGTCTATGATGTTAAGTAAAAGAAAAAAAAGAGCAAATTATAGATCAATCTGTATAGCATTAACCCATTTACACAACCAAAACAACAAAACCTATGTGCATCTATAGTATATGTTAGTAAATACATAGAAAAAGGTCTAGAAAGAAACACTCCCAACTCTTTTTTTCTCTTATAGTTTTGAGAGTTGAATAAGGTAGAGGATGGCACTCCCAACTTTTAACGGGTTTAACTCAGAGGAGAGTGTAAATAGGGACTTTCAGTTTTTACTCTAGACTTCTATACTGTTTGAAGTTTTACTAAGGGACATACATTAATTTTGTAATTTAAAATATTTCAAAAAAGAATGAACCAAAATTAGTAAAAATAACTTATAATGTCTTGATTTAGATATGCTTGATTTAGTCAGTTCTAATTTTGTTGCTAACACTTTATTGTAAGTTTATTATTTGCAACGAACAGGTTTTATTAAAAACAGCTACGAAAAGTCCAGCCATCATAATGGAGTATGCATTGGGCTTGGGCATGGTGCCCTCTTGTGACCAGTGAGAGGATGCCAGCCTGGGATCCCAGGGTGCTGAGAGCCAACCGCCCCATGGCTTGTAAGGGTGGTGATGGCATGGGGCGGGGTGGGGAATCTGATGGAAGCCAGGGCTTCCCCAAGTGGACACTTAGGGACTTCTTGAGTGTCCTCACAGACTATTAATAGAGGGTGGTATTTTTTTTTTAATTGTAGAGATGAGGTCTTGCCAAGTTGCCCAGGTTGGTCTCGAACCCACAGGCTCAGGCAATCCATTCGCCTCAGCCTCCGAAAGTGCTGGGATTACAGGCTGAGCCACCAAGTCTGGCAAGGGTGGTATTTAATTAATCACTATGCCTTATATCCAGAGCAATTTTAATGTCAGGAGTCGTTCAGACTTGCTAGCTCAGAAAGATTGTCAAGTCACATTCCTTCTTGGGCCATCTGGAAGTTGCTTTCAAGCATGACTGTGTTCTTATGGGACATTGGGTGGGTGTGTGCAGGGTAGGGAGGAGAGTGGGAGAAGGGAGGAAGGAAGGTAGAGAGGGCCTGAGCATTGATAAGTGTGTCTTCTTGTAGCTCTGAAAAGTGGGAGACAAACAGAAATGCACAGGCTAGAAGTGGGAGCATCTGTGGACATATCAAGGGCCTGGGCAAATCAGGAGGGTCAAAGACCTTCACATGCATCACCAGTTCCATTTATAGAGTGACTTCAAACAAATTCTCCTTTCTTCCATGTTCTAAAGGCTTCAAATAGTAAAAAAAAAAAAAAAAAAAAAATTAGCTGGGCGTGGTGGCACATGCCTGTAGTCTCAGCTACTTGGGAGCCTGAGGCAGAAGGATCGCCTGAGTCCAGGAGGTCAAGGTTACGGTGGGCCGTGAGTGCTATGTGTGACACTCCAGCCTGGGCCACAAAGTGAGACCCCCGATTCTAAATAAATAAATAAAACCAAATAAAAATCATTTCTTAAAAATTGGCTTAAAAATCAATGGGTACATAATAGATCATTGCAGCGTCTCCACAACATCCTTTTAAGAGGGGACTGAACAATATAACTGACATGAATATGTTGCTAGTGGTTAAGGAGCCCCCCTAGAAGATCACCGGGAAACCTCACCTATGGAAGGAGTGGGTCTCGGAGGTCTGGGCGATGGTGGAGGGCACGGTCCTGGCACCGTAGCTTGCACAGTGAGGTTCAGGCTGAAAGTTCCATTGAGCACATAGGTGTGATTCTGAGTGTGGTTGCTGGAAACAAACAGGCCAGTATTGTCCCCAAAACTCCACTTGTAGTTAATGGTGGACTCGTTGAGGAAGTGGCTGGGATCATGAATCAGGACATCAAACATGATGGGGAGGCCTTTGAGGAAAGTTTCATCAGAAGAATTTCTGTCGTTCTTCTGAGTCATAGTCACAAACACAGGAATCTGATCTGAAAGATACATTCCCAAAAAGAAAGAAAAAATGCATGGTGGTGCGACTTAGGTGGAGGATTGCAATGATGCTTTTAGGTTAAATAATTGAAACTAGGGATGATCTAGCATTATTGTTTCCTTTTCTTATGCAAGTTTTCTGGAGTTTTCCCAAGCTACTCTGGAAAACAGGTGAAATACAACATAATTAAATTTACATGCCTGGTTAGGGGCCCAGATGAATTGTAACCCAACCCAGAATAGATGGGTCTCACTCTTTCTTTGCTTTCTGTCTTTTTGGAGGTGGGGGTGGGGAGATAAGGTCTCGCTGTTTCCCAGGCTGGTCTCAAAGCAATCCATCCGCCTTGGCCTCCCAAAGTGCTGGGATTACAGGCATGAGCCACCATGCCCAGCCTCTGACTCTTTCTTAGCCCACTTATGTCAACAGAACTAATTCTCAGTTAATGTAGAATTCACACCACTCACCTGTTACCACGTACACATCTTTAACTTGTGCGATGGGAACGTAAGCCCGTCCATGTCTTCTATAGACAGCCACTTCCATGACTTGAGGGCCAACTGTCACATTGGCTGTGTTCATAGACACTCTCACTGAGCAACGTCCCAATTTCTGGAAATACTGACCTTTGGGAGGATGGAAAATTTTAATTATTGGGTACATTCCATTAGCATTCTAGGAAGTTGTCTCTTATCAACTAGCCACCACCATTTAGAGATTGTTCTGGGGGAGGGAACACTGCTGCTTGAGAAGGGGAGATGGAACCCATTTTTATGTAAAATCTTATAAAACAAACTCACAGTTATATATGTGTAGCTGGCTAATATGAAAAAAAGCTGTTGAATGAGATAATTCAGTTAGCCCTTAGTTTACATTTATAAGTTAAGTGATTTATAAGTTAAGTGTGTTTTTCCCATAGGAAATGCATTTAATGTCATGATGAGGTGTCCAGAAGAGTTAAAATTTTTATTTGTCCAAAAATCTACCTTATTTTTATAACAATGTTACTACTTCAGCTATATAATTAAGTGATTTTTTAAAAGGGGACTGAAACCTTCCACCTTCTGATAGTGTTTATATATACAAATACAGTAAATGATGAAAGAGATAAGGTGTGCAGATATAAACGGGAATGGAGTGGTCCCACACACATATTTCTAGGATACCCTGAGTCAACTCTTTTCTTTCTCTAGCTCTCCCTGAGTCTAACTGCTGCTAGCAAACAGCTGAAAGTAATTCCTCTCCTCCGGAACTCAAGGACTTTTCTAATCCTATCAAGGTGCCAGGCATAGACCTATCCTTGACCGGGTATCATAGGATGGTTGCTTTAGAGATAGAGATGTTTAAAGACCATGCTTGTCACATAAACAATACTGGTCTTCTGAGGCCTGTGTGATTTGTAATTCACCTTCACCTTGAGGGGAAGAGGTGTCTCTCAGGGGTTAGTTATTTATGAGGGAAATGTTAGTTCCAGCCCTGAAAGATAAGACCACACTTAGTTGAGGGACACTATCGATGAACTCGGAGACCCCAGAGGAAGATGGAAATTCAAGATAGTCTTGCTAGAAAACCAGAGAGATTTCTAGACTGAAGGTTGATTTTAAATAAAGACACTGGATTTAATTAAGTTAACGGGGTGTTAACTATGTTAAAAGGAATCAGGCGTGAACATCAGTGACGTTGCAAGCTGTCAGAATTCTGTCATGGGAGTAACAGGTCAAAGGAATCATGTTTGGTGAGTTGACTGACAGGGACATGATGGCTTTGAAAGATAAGTCAAGGAGAGGGAAGAGGAGGGCACTTAACATCAATAAGGTACCTGATCCCAAACCAGGCGAAGTGGGACCTAAGAGAGGCACAAATTACCTATATGATGACCACTTATCTATCTAATCCTGAATTGTACCCCACATCTTAAATTTAAAAAATAAATAAAAATAAGTCAGCTTGAAGGCCACTGATCAAATAGATGGGCATAATATTTGACTTAGTTTGTATTTTGTTGAATGGTCATGTATTAATATTGAATCTTGATTTGTAAATAAGTTAACTGAAGGAAGAAAAGCTTTCTCTAGTCTATGAAAGATGAAAAATTTAGAAATCTGGAAGTTGCTTGACTGGCAGTGGTTTTTTTATTATAAAATATAGTTAGTAAATTAGATTATAAATATAGATTATAAAATTAGATTATAAAATATAGAAAGTAAATTAGAGAGAGAGAGAGGAGATTCACCTCCCCAAGGCAGGGAAGAGGGGCCAAAGCCAGGAAACATGGCCTGGCCATAGCTCAAAGAACACATGGCCACACCATGGCTTAGCAAGGAAATGCCTGGCAGTGGTTTTCAGTACTCAATGCCAGGTGTCACCTGATGACATTTTAAATTAAGAATTTAGCAGCCTAGCTAAATAATAACCTAAATTTCCTCCTCCTAAAAATAGCCACTTCAATAATAAAGCAAAGTGAATATCATTTATGGTAAAAGAAAAAAAAAAAAAACAGAGAGTAGGCATGTCAAAGCAGAAGAGTAGTTAGATTATTTTAATTCTACATGATGGAATATTATTACAATATTATTAATGTGATGTATATAAAGAATTCTTAATGATTTAGTCAGATAGTAAGTAAAAATGTATATGGTTGTAAATTAAGATCTTAATCAGCCGGGCTCGGTGGCTCAGCCTGTAATCTCGCGCCTTTGGGAGGCTGAGGTGAGTGGATTGCCTGAGCCCGGAGGTTCGAGACCCGCCTGGGCAGCGAGACCTCATCTCTACAATAAATCAAAAAATCAGCCGGGCGTGGTAGCGTGTGCCTGTAATTCCGGCTACTTGGAAGGCTGAGGTGGAAGGATCACCGGAGCCCAGG